CTTGCACACTTCAATGCCAGAGTTCCTGAGCCAACATGACTGGAGGAGGAATTCTGGGCGGTTTTTTTTTCTAAAGGGTTAGGGGTGCAAGGGTCTTTTAACCTGACAGCTGTAAGACTTGCACACTTCAATGCCAGAGTTCCTGAGCCAACATGACTGGAGGAGGAATTCTGGGCGGTTTTTTTTTCTAAAGGGTTAGGGGTGCAAGGGTCTTGTAACTTGACAGCTTTAAGACTTGGGTGCTTCAAATGCCAGAGTTTCTGAGCCAACATTTTGGTTGCTAAGTAAGAGCGTTGTTAAGTGAGTTTCACCACATTTTACAAGTTGGCCATGCCCACCCAGTCACATGGCTGCCAAGCCACTCCCACTCAGTCACATGGTTGGCAAGTCACGCCCACCCAGTCACATGGCTGCCAAGCCACTCCCACTCGGTCACATGGTTGGCAAGTCACGCCCACCCAGTCACATGGCTGCCAAGCCACTCCCACAAAACAGGCCACACCAACAGAAGAGGTTTTAAAAATTTTGAAACCCACCACTGGCAATGTTGTATATATGTATTTGTGCACTGCCAGTTTAGATATAATTTCACAATAAGGCATGGACTCTAGGTCAGAATTTAAAGACAGGCCAGGTCTTTGTAGCAATCATTTGGCAAGAGCCATGGTGGCACAGTGGTTAGAATGTAGTATTGCAGGCTAATTCTGCCGACTGCTGATTACCAGCTGTTTGACAGTTCGACTCTCACCAGGTTCAAGGTTGACTCAGACTTCCATCCTTCCAAGGTCGGTAAAATGAGAAGCCAGATTGTTGGGTGACTCTGTGAAGTTTAAAAGTGCTATTGCTATTTTCCCCTTTGGTATTTTTAAGTAACTTGGTTTACTGCTGATATTTCATTGCTGATAGTCATTTAGAATTCTATTATTTCTTACCCGACTGTGGTCATCTTTTTTACACATTTATATAGGAGAATTGCCTGAACCCTGAAGTTGTTGAACAGATCTATAAGAGGAACCCAATTCTTCGTTATACGCAGCATCCGTTGCATTCTCCACTGTTACCCCTTCCTTATGGAGACATCAATCTGAATAGTAAGTTTTGGCTAAGAAGCCTTTGGGATATGCCAGTCTATTATGGCAAAAAACCCCTTCTGAATAAGAAACTTTGCCGTGCACACACTCAAGAGGTTTTACTCATTTGCATATCCCATCGATAACCTCCCTTCTGCAGTCTTGTTATCAGCATGATAAAGAGTGTTTAAACAGTGCAGGTAGGCAAAAAGTATTTCACACATACTCAGTACAATGGTTCTTTTATTTATTTTCCAAGCTATTTTTAGCTCTTCGCTCATATTTCCAATTTCTAGGCTGATATTAAACTTGGGGAAAGTATCCAACTGTTTCAAAGATAATTCGCTCAAAATCCTCACAAAGATTTTGGCTGCATCCAGGAAATCTGAGATCATGAAATAGCTAACGATTTGACTTTAGAAAAGTTGCTGTTTCTATAAAGGGAAAATAGTTTTATTACCTTGAATGATGGCCAGGATTCAATTCCAAAGAAGGAAAACCATACAATGTTTTTAAAAAGACTTTTTTTCTTTTTTGCAAAATGTATCATTTAGTGAAGAAATAATTGCTAAATTCTCATCATTTATTAAGAAGACTTAATTTCTGTAAGTGAGTTTTGAATATCACTTCAGGTAGTCTGACATACGACCACATTTGAGCCCAAAAAATTTATTGCCAAGCGAGACGTTTGTTAAGTGAGTTTTGCCTCATTTTACGAACTTTCTCGCCACATTTGTTAAGGGAATCACTGCAATTGTTAAGTTAGTAACATGGTTAAGTGATCTGGCTTCCCCATTGATTTTGCTTATCAGAAGGTGATTACAAGACCTCAGAACACTACAAATATGAGTCCGTTGCCAAGGGTTTGAATTTTGATCTCATGACCGTGGAGATGCTGCATTGGTCATAAGTGAAAAACAATTCCAATTTCCAATTTATTGGTATTTGTATGCCGCCCACTCCCATTGGGACTCTGGGTGGCTTACAGGCAAGACAAACATATCAAAAAATTTAAGATAAAATACAAGTGTTAAGGAGGGAATGAAGGAGAGAAGGAAGGAGGGAAGGAAGGAGGAAAGGAAGGAGAGAAGGAGAGAAGAAAGGAGGGAAGGAAGGAGAGAAGAAAGGAGGGAAGGAAGGAGGAAAGGAAGGAGAGAAGGAGAGAAGAAAGGAGGGAGGGAAGGGGGAAAGAGGGAGAGAAGGAAGGAGAGAAGGAGAGAAGAAAGGAGGGAAGGTAGGAGGAAAGGAAGGAAGAGGAAGTAGGATTGTTGTAAGATAAGATGGGTTTATGGGATGGTAAGAAAGCAATTTCAAGTATATTGTCAACTGTAGGGGAGAAAAATTGTTACAAATACATATTATTAATAACAGTTATGAGATCATATAATTGTGAATGTATATATGAGAAATAAAAAATTTAATTAAAAAAAATACGAGTGTTAAAAATATCAACAACATGCATACAGTTGGAGTGGGGCTGGATACTAATCAACAGCCTCAGGCCTGCCGGAACTCGTGGCTTTACGAAAGGCCGGAAGGGTGGTGAGGGTCCGGATCTCTACGGGGAGATCGTTCCATAGGGCCGGAGCAGCTACAGAGAAGGCCCCCCCCCGGGGCCCCGCCAGCCGACATTGACCGGCCGACGGCATCCGGAGGAGGCCCAATCTGTGTGATCTTATTGGTCGTTGGGAGGTAAATGGAAATGGAATAGCTA